ACGTGATACAACTAATTTGTGCTCACGCTTCACAAAATTATTCATTGTATAGCGTGATCATGCAAGGGTGCGATTCTCCACAGTTGGCCCTATTTTATTCTTTTGATTTCCAGAGACTTCTAGCAAGCTAGTGCAACGAGCTATCTGCTGAAATTATTTATCATTCTTGATAAATGCAAAAAAAAAAAGCAATCCCGTGCGTCCCTGTACCTTCGCGACACTGTGCGTAAGGCTGTCACTTGCCTAACCCATGTATACCCCGACAAACCTCGACTTTAAGTTCACTTTTCAGTGAAACAAGTTGACCACGACCACTCAGCTCAATATTACGTCGTGATTATCAAGCATTGCTGCCGATTACCGCTCGTGCGAAGTGACCATTCCCGCCCAGAGGCGGTTATTTTGTGGACATATACGAGTCAAAGTGGAGCTTCGATTGCACGGACGTTTAAGATTATACGGGGTGTGTCATGCCAGGCATTATGTCCGAGGTTCTTTTCTGTCGTAGGTTCAGTTCACGTTACGTAACAGCGTGTTTTCTATCACGACGGCTGATCAAGCCATCAGGTTCGTAAGCTGAAAAGTATTAGTTCAGGTGCTGTCAAAACGACCATGCCTAATACTCTGTTTCCTATGTGTGAATGGTTCTGCTGACAAAATCGTCATTTCAGTTTTTGACTATTCAATACGCAGTTGTTCGACAGTTAAAAAGGAACAAAGAGAGTTCCTTTTCCTTCGTCAGATGTTTTTGACGGGCTTCATTGGGGATATGCCAGAAAGGGAAAAGCTACACTTCGATATTGAAGAGAAAGTGATATACTGATCAGATAAAGCGCATTTGGGAATGCACAGTATGGCATGCCACAGTGCAAAACATTAACTTATCCTATAAACTTGAATTGCCAAAAACCTCCACTGGAAAGGCATTCATGACACTTGTTGTTCATTGTAATCTCTTTGGGAGCGAAACTATATCAACCTTCCATGCATCTAATCCAAAATACCAAAAAGATCGCTCGATATTAGTTTACTTACGCATTAATAAAGATATCCGTCTTTTTTGTTGTATGTCGCGTTTGACGTTATACTCATGCTCGTATAATAATTATTGATGACCCACTTGAAACTGTAGGTAATGATATGCGGGGTTTAACGTCCCAAAACCACCATATGATTATGAGACACGCCATAGTGGAGGGCGGAAATTTTGACCACCTGGGGTTCTTTAACGTGCACCCAAATCCTAGCACACGGGCCTACAACATTTCCGCTTCCATCGGAAGTGCAGCCGCCGCAGCCGGGATTCGATCCCGCGACCTGCAGCCGAGTACCTTTGCCACTAGACCACCGCGGCGGGGGGAAACTGTAGGTAGGCGCAGTGTTAACAGCACGTTGTTAATTACAGGACAAGCAGTTTGAATGCCTAAAGTTGTGTTCATTTTATAAGCACAAACCGAAAATTAAGTACCCAGCATTGGCACCGTGTGCTCTAGAAAGGAAGACGGTTATTCTTCCTAGTAACCCCCTCCCCCCATGTACCCTTTATGATAGCACTGGATAATGTTGTTCATAAGCAAACGAACAAACAGACGTAAGGAAACATTATGACTCTGGTAACGACAACCAAAACGCCTATACGCTGAGCTACTTGTAGAGTGGTGACATATCGTAATACTGTGATAACGTGCATGCATATATGCATAGGCAAAATTTATAGTTTCCTTCCGAGAACCAACGACCGTAGGCATTTCAATATATGTAAAACAGCATTTAATGATACAGCGTGTATTTTGAAGATATAGATAACGAAGGACAGGCCCCGTGATTTAGCTTCCCTCAGCCAGAAAGCATTTGCTCCGGATCCTTCAGTAGTCAAGAGGGGGAAGAAAATTATGATCGCTTAGCCTGTCCCACAGGACCATGTTTGTCAATGAAAGCGACGAGAAAAAGATGCTCGGCGAGTGAGCAACACACCACCGTGGCCTGTAATGTTCGGTGCAGCTCGTAACAGTCCCCCCTTCCTCTCCCCTCGTGTACTTCGGACACGCAGTGTGGCCGCACAATTGCGCACGCGAGCAGGCGGCCATCCTGCGCCACCCGCGCAGCTATCGGTGATCCTGCACGGCATATACATGCTCCCACAAGGCAGCTCGTTTAGCCGACACGCGACACGTTGTCGCCGATGATGTGCGCACAGCGTATGCCGGGGCTGTATTGTGCGAGCAGCAAATAAATTCACTCCGCGTGCGTGACGATAACTCACGCGCATGCGACGGGGGCGCAAAAAGAATGAGAGGACCGCGACGTGGAGCAGAGAAGACGAGCAGCGGGGTGGTGCAGAGAAGCTTCCCAGAGGCGGAAGAGAGTCCGAAATCATTGCGACCCCAAAGTGCCACACGGCCGATCAGTTTCCAGCGAACGGTAGTAGTGGGGGACACGCGTGGCAGGCCACACGCTTTTTCCCGCTCGCCGCGCCGGGGTCCATTGGCGCGACACTTCGGGCGCACAATCGGGCGCTGTCGACTTCCAGTTGAGTTCCCACGAGACCAGCGCTCCAAGGCAGCACCCCGTAACGAGAGGTCGCTCCCCGGCCTCGCTGCCTGTA